TTTAAGCTACTGTATGCTATATACATTGCCATTCATGTATCCAAAGTGTCCAAGATATCTAATAAAGAAGCACATGAAGAACATGTTCTTTCCTGATTATTTTTTGGCGCAAGATTACAAAGAAGATACAGGTAGTGAAATTATTTGTAATGTGAAATGCACATATATTAGGATATACTTTATATACCGTACAAAAGAAATCTCTCTGTAGTATGATGCAAATCGATGTTTCAATTGAGGAAGTCTGCAGTACCATTTGAAAAGAAAATGCAATGTCTGGATGTTGACTCTATACCTCAGAAAGTTCATTTAAAGCATTCAAATTATAGTGGACCATTATGGTTGGGAAATTAGAGTATGTAAATGAAAATGAGATGCTCCATGTATACTGAACATTATAAAAGAATGTGTTCTATTTTGTATTTGAGTGTTAAATGGCAACATAATTGGCAACTTTGTAATGCACAGCTAAAGAGAGGCAAAATTACATAGCATCCAAATAATAACACTAATAAAACAAAGTCAAGATGCTAAAAACCATATATAGGCTTTAGTTCGGTAATCAGATCCTACATCTGCCTCTGTATTGCAGTGGTGTAGTCTATAGAGAAATTAATCTTTCCCTGTGGGTGAAGAGTCTTAAAACAGTGGAACTCAGCCTTTTAGGGCAGTGAGCCAGGTAGGGGAGGGAGGGATGGAGAAAGAAAGAAAGAAAGAAAGGGACTGCCAACTCAGAGAAAGGGGAGGTTGATGGGGGGGGGAGAGGAAGAAAGCTTACCTTTAGGCTGTGGAGGGAACCAGTGGTACAGCATAGGCAGGCAAAGGGCCAGATACAGCCTGTGGGTTAAGTACCACTGGTATTAGAGCACAGAACATCAATAAAGAAGACAAGTACCATTCGCTCCTCCAAAATTGGCGCTTATTATTAATCAGCTAAATCAGTGCAGCTTCATATTCTGAAAAGCTGAGTTTACTGAGAAAATATGGAGGAAGTGTGTGCAGGATAACATATTTCATAGCTACTATAAAGAACGGCTTGAAATTGATCTTGACGTCTAAGTGGGCCAGCTGTCTTTCCAATTGGAAAGCATTGGTAACGTAGGTATCAGAAAATCTGGGAGACAGTGTAAGCCTCACATAGCGAATACACATTTCTTCTCCAGGCCAACTGGTCACTGCTTGAACTGAGATTGGAATAAAGCATCTATAGAGCATTCTAAACATTACCTAGACTGCTGTTGGTTACTGAATACAATTCTGCTGTACTTTTATTCTGAATGAAAGCACAGGACAATTTTGAATTTAGAGTCCTAAGCACAGCCAGAGGGATCTTTAGTACAACTTGTATGCTTAACCAAAATTCTGGAGAGAAAACATGTTCAGCAATTTGTGAGGTATTTGATAACAGGGGCTTATGACTGAAGTGCTGCAGAATATACATAATGTCACTTTCCAAAAATACGTAAATTATAACAATATGTTATTAATAGGATCCTCACAATAAAACAGGCCAAGAATTAGAAAACTTTTCACAAAAAATAATCCTCTTTCAGCAAACAGTCACAAAAGCAAAAATTCATTATGTAGCCTTCAAAGTCCAGAATCTCATTCAGTATTTATCTATGTAAGAGCTACTGGAGATTCCATACAAATATTTCAGATTTCCTGTGGCTTTGTATATAAACAAAAGCTGTACCACTATAAATTTATATATTAATGTTTTAATAACATTTTGAAAGTCCAAAAGGATGCTCTTCTTTCAGTTTGAAACGTACTGGTTTTGATTTAGATGCATCTGTTTCCATTCATCTTGGCCAAACTGAAATAAGTGTGGCTTAAACTAAAATATAAGTTTCTGCTAGGCCTTCTACATTTCAAATCAAACCCTAAATTAAAACAGTGCTATAGTCTCATGTAGAAAAAAACCCCTAAATTTTACAGATTCATGAGAATAATAGTTATACTGCAACCTATAAAATACTGTAAATTGTAAAACATTAGTCCCATGTTTAGCTTAGATTTTCAGTAACTTGAAAGGGACATTTCAGGGGATATATTAAAGAATAGTAAACTATTTTGAACAAAAGTATTCCTTGGTATCTGTCCATATAAATCAAAGGAATTACATTAGAGATTAATATGGAAGATATGTTTTAAACTTACAGGATGCTTTAACTTGTGGTAATGATGAAAACCCATTTCTTCTCCAGAAATTTTAAGATCTGATTCTGCTAAGATGTATGAAAACTATTCACAGCTAAATTGGTTTCCTCATACTGTGAGTTATCCAAAGGGTACGCCCAGGATATTCACTAAAGACAGTAACAGGAAGTCATGTGTAAAGAACTGTCTGTGTGTAGAAACTTCCACACAGTGTTTAAATTCAACAGTAATAGCAATTGAACAAAAATATTCCACAGTTTCAAAATAAAGTTCTTTATTTCAAAATAGTGTTTTAGAATAACATAGATCCAGTTAATATACAATAAAAAAAAACAAGTTAACAATTTTTTTCCCTTAAAAATGGGGCCAGTTTATCAGTTGTAAACTGTAACACTGAAACATGGTAATTGTCCATCACAAATTTTATAAACTAGACAAGTACTGATTTTCTTATTTAAGTTACACTTTCACATTGTCTATTTCTAATTCTGCTTGTTTTTAATGCAAAAGGTGCTTATAAGATTGCCGATAAAGTGGACATAAAGGAAAAATTTAAGAATATAAATATAAAAATTAGACTCCTTAAACTACATACTAATATTCTCTGCTACAGAGATAAATATTACAAAAGTGCTAGTATTTCTATGACAAATAGTAGCAGAATGTGCTTTGAAGTCAAAAAATTACACAATCAACATTTTATTTTCTGATTTAAATCTAAAATAATCTGGTATTTCCCAGTCAATACAATGCTTTATAATCAAGACAGTATATTCATTTTCTACTATTTAATAAATCAGATGGGCATTAAAGAAAACATAAAAATTGGATGCATATAAATATTTTGATTTTTATTATGAAAAAAATAAACATATCTCTTGTATTTGGACATTAGGAAAGAGAAAGAAGTATATGCATTCCCCAGCTTATTTTTGAGTTCCAACCACCCAAAAGTAACAACATTTCCCAGTTTCTAAAGTGTTCAACAAGCAGAAAGTTCTGTATATAACAATCCACATGAATGAGCAAACTTTAAATCAGGGAAGAAGGAGTTTTCATAAGTCAGAATTGTCATTGTCTATGCTAAAATAGCCTGTGGTCTGCTATTTTGTTTCCAATAGAAATTGTGAACAATTCTTAAAATTCAATGTTTACTTAAAAGCCCCAAATGCAAATGCATAGTTTTCCAAAAACCTCAAAATCACATTGTGACTGCTCTGGCAAGAGTTCACCACAAGGAAGGTACACAGGAAGTCCTTCAACCCTACTTCATAAGCACACACAAATACTAGACAGTCATAGTGTAATTGTCTGTGCTAAAAAATACAGAGGGCAATACAGCTAGCATAGTTTTCAGTGCCACATGGCCCCAGAGACCATGTCCTCACCACCACTGTCAGCTACTAGAGTTGCACTTGAAGTACTGTCTACACTTTTTCCAAGGTGCAGCAAATCCCAGTGTTCTCACATGGTGCTTCCAATTTCTCCAGAAACATTATGCCTTTACAAAGGCAAAATGCCTTCAGGCACTGCCACTCAGCTAGTGGGCCTCTTCCTTTTTCCCAGGGTGGTTCAGACTCTTGTAGTTGTAATTGAGCCCCATGGGCCTGATTCTGAGCTTAGCAATTTTTATCACTTTGACCATGTAGCTTTTTATTATAGTGCCCATTACCATAATATCTGAGTGCTTCCTTAATGAAATTACATTTGTGGAAGGTGCTGGAAATCCACCTGGCTTTTATTAGTGTGAAATCAGAATCTGGCCCTATACATGTAGAGATAACTTCTGAATAAATCCACATTCAAACTGGAATATACCACAATGCTTGCTGGAGGTTTGAAAGTAGAAGGAAACCCCTCCCTAGCTCAACAGAATCAATGAGAATAAAGTTACTTTATTATCAGTGATATCTTGCAGTAGTAAGCACTACTAGTCAGTGTTTGCCAGACCAGGCCCTAGATTAAGACTAAACAATGTGTTGACTTGGTCAATTTCACATTCCTGTGATTTTTCATTTGTCACATTTATGTAAACTGTCTTCTATACAGTGGAAAGAATCACTTACTTTCAGTTCAACATATAGAAACGTGCTATTGTCCATCAGGGACAGTTGTTACGTTACCAAAGTTAACTGAACCAATAAACTATAAATAGGAAATCTGAAGCATACAAAGGAAAGTAAACATGTCCGATCAAAGTGTACAGGTGGTTCAGATAATTAGCTATGAATACCAAGAAAAAGCTAACAGATGCTAAGGTAAATGGGCACCATTATTTCCCAACACATGGAAATTCTCTAATCATTAGCTATGCTGGATCTTTTTTGCTCTCAATAACACAGTGGAAAAAAAAATCAAGACTTACTGAAAAAACTGTATTTACAGGATGTTAAAATAAAACTTTGGCCATTGAATACTATGTGTTTTTAAAGACATTATTTCATGTCTCCTAGTTTAAATGGATACCAGCCACCTAAAAATGTAACATTTTTGAAAACTTTTCCCACGCTGTTATTTGCAAGCAACACTTAAAAAAGTGACACTTAAGAATAATATGCTTTTGAAGTTTACCCTCAGCATTTGATGATTACACTTTGTGTTTAGTCAGGTTTACTATTTTGCTTATCAACTATATCCTTTCTTTTGTATGGGTCTTTCTTACAACAGTAGAAAGAGAAAATGTGGTTGTAAAACCACAAAAATTAGTAGGCAGATTCAAGTATAGGTTTAAAATCTGAAATATTTTTTGATGATCTCCATTTTATAGCTGTAGTTATTTTATCATCTAGTCCAACCAAGAAAAGATACATTTATCCTTGCCTAAGCCTTCAAAATCTGGTGGTAAGAATGAAGATTTCAAGTAACATTAAAAAAGATAATACAGGTCAGATATAAGAAGTTTCTTCTGTTTTGAGACATAGTAGGTGAAATCTTGCCCCTGTAAAATTGCTAACTTCATATGGCAATTCTACACAAGTTAGATATGCAATAGCAAGCTTTTAATTTGCTTTCAATAAACACTTACATTTGCAAAGCCAAAAGGGGGCTGGAAAACAATTTAAATTTCACAAGCTGAATTGTAACATATTTGTTAAGAGTAGAGGTTTAATCTTTTTGTTTATACCAAGGGAGTTAAACAGTGCAAATACTAAGTTGCTGTGTGAGAATCTTACCTTGTCTTTCTTCAAAAGTATTTAAAGAAAAGCTCTCCAGTTTTTAATAGAATAAAATAAAAAGTGATAAATATTTCATGAGGGGAAACAAATCCCACAGCATTCCATACATATTTCCAAACAATCTGATGATTCGCAGCAAGCGTCCATTATGCCACAATCCATATCACATGGGCAGTTACAGTCCTCCCCCATTTCGTCTCCACAGCAACAACAGCAGGTCTCCGAAGTACAGATGCCACAGGATGCTTGGCCCAAAACAATATTACAGAGGGTGAGAAATTCACAAAACAAGCATGCCAGGATACAGTGAACACAGCAATCTTCACAAAGGCCAATTTTGTAGCATGGCAAATATCAAAAAAGAAAAAGAGAAAGAGAAAAGAGGATCAGTTGTTATGAAATGTTAAGTGCAAATATATCACATAATGATGACTAAGCAGTTGAAAGACTGCTTCATGGTAGATAAAATTCTCCCCTCCCCTAATGCAAAAACTTCCTATTTCATCTTTCAGGTCACACACAAAACAATCCAACCCAAAAGCTAAATAGGTCTTGATTTTTATACCCCTGTCCCCAATGATGCCAGCCTCAGTAGGATACCTCATTACTTTTGCCTGTTCTTACCTTCCTGCCATTATTGCCTTCTATCATGCAGAACCTATGCCTCAAACGCTCACTAAAGTCCAATGTACCAGTCTCTTAAGTTTTTTCCTCAAACCGCTTCTTCCATGAGTCCCATATGTGATCATTTTTGCCAGTTATGAGAGAAATTCAGTTACTTCCCTTGGGTCTCCCAATGCATCGCACACTTCAGAATCTGACTTCGAGATAGTAAGTTCCTTGTTTTTTTACATGGGTGTTCTACATAACACCAGAAAAAGAGGTGATACTTGTTACATAAACCAAATAAAGCTAGAAGTTTGCTAGAATATTCGTTTGCAATATATTTTGCAAAAAATACCTTAATGCTCACAAAAAGACTGATTATAACAGAAGACCTAAAGTATAAGACACTTTCTGAACTGCTTACTTTCACCGCTCTTACTATTCATGCTATAGTACTCTTAGTGTATAGTTGTGTGGAATTAACTAGCGCTAACCCTACCTCAGACCATATTTCAAATCAAATCAAACTCAACTGTACTGAGAGTAACCCACTGCATGTCTTGAGGCACAATTTAAGAGAAGGGAAATCTCAAGAGAAAGACAAAGACTAAACACTAAAAACTTTATGACATTTTGAACTGGTGAGAGTTTAGGACATTACTGGCTCCAGCAGCTGAAAATTTATGCATAAATTATGCATCTCTGTTTTGCTGCTATTCATGAACTTCTTCATGTGAGATTTTTGCTTTCTCTATGACAGACCAATATGCTGTACATACATTTTTCAACAATTAAGGAAAAAAATCTGTTCTGACTGCACATTTTATATTACTCTTCTATACAATTCTCTCAGTAGCCTTATTTTTAATCAATCTTTCAAAATGTAAATTAGATGTACACCTGAACTGAAATATGCAGCTGTCAGAGGCACTAGTAAATCACACATGCTAAATGAGGAGATGGCTTAAAGTAGTACCCCACAAAATGTTAGCTGGACAGTAGGCTACCCAAACAATGAATGTATGTAATTACCTCAAACACTTGCTATTGATATTTAGGTCTAATTCCACAATACAGGCTGGAGAAATGCACAAACATTGAAAGTGTAACTAAACATAGAGCAATGAGAAGAAAATTATAGGACTGAGGAATATATTTAGTCGATCTTCTCAAAATCCACTCACAGCAAACCAAATTACAGGCAACATGTTCTGAAATGATTGGCAGCAAACACACAAATATAGTGTATCAAGTATATAAGATTTGTTCTGTGTTCATAATTAAGCAACACATGTTATTTACTTTGAAAAAGAACCAGGGATACTTTAAATAATAAATAAAAGTTTTAGACCTGCAGGATCTGTAAAACAATATGGATGCTGTAGAAGGATTCACAATGCTTATTGTAAGAATTGAATAGCTGTAGTGTTAACAGACTGATTTCTGTGGGTTGTCATTGGCGAAGTTTAAACAGACCAAAAGCAAAATCAGATTAACAGTAACATATTGAAAAAGAACCATAATAGTATTTTCATAATGGTATAACTGTACAATAGTTTTTCCTTTACCTTTTTCATTTGATACCAAACTGTTAAGTATTTATACACAGATGTAGTCAGGAAATTGTCCTACTAACCTGAAAATAATAACCAGAGATAATGGAATACCAGTTTAGTCAACTGGTAAAATCATATTCAGTATTAGGTGACTGATTAGAAAAAGTATGCCACAACTTGAAAAACTATGGAAAACTTTAACCAAACTACATTTATGAAGCCCAGATGCAATATAATAAATGAGCTCAGCAATATAGTTGCAATAAGCTCCAACCAGACTAATCTATTAGTTTGGCAGAAATCTTACTTGTTTCTGGTGATTAGGGGTGCACTGATAGAGATTTTTGGGGCCAATACTGATAGCCAATTTTTAAGGAGGCACATTTCAGCTGATACCAATCTGATTTCCAATACCAGCCTGGCAGCTTGGAAAGCTGCATGCCCTGGTAAGTCTGGTGTGGTGGAAGGGGAGGAAGAAAGAAGGGGCATGGGGGGGGCAGGTCAAGGTCCCGTGGTGAGGGAGGAGTGGGGTTGGGGCTGAGGCAAGCACTGCCCAGTCAGGGTAGGGTGGGCGCAGGATGGAGCTGCAACTTGGCCAGGGGGTGCATGGAGGGGGGGTGGCTCCCACTCTGTGTGCCACTCATCTGGGAGGGCATGGAAGGTGACCCCAGATCTGCGTGGGGCAGAGTAGGGAGGGCCAGGAAGAGACCCACACAGCCCTGGCCCCAGCCTGCCCCACCCTGATCCAGGGGCACATGCCCCCCCATACCCTTCTGAACAAGCACTGGGAGCCCCCCCCGCAGCTCTGTCCCATGCCCGCGCCTGCCCCACCTCAGCAGGGCAGCACTTGCCCCAACCCCTGCACGAGCCCCACTCCTTCCCCTCACCACAGAGGCCTTGATCTGCCCCACCACACTCCTTCCCACCTCGCTCCCCTTGTACCACACCAGAGTTACCAGCTGCACACAGCTCTTCAAGCCACTGGGCTGTGCTCCTTGCTGTCTACATGCTGCGCTGTGGCTGCATGCACACACAGGCATTTATCAGCCAAATTATCAGCCACATCAGGCTGATTTCCAATATGTTCAATTTTCTTTATATCAGTGCCGATCCGATATCAGGCCGATGTATCAGTTCACCTCTACCGGTTATGTCTTCACTGCAGTATTAAGTAGGTTAGGTACTGGTACAAGTGTAGTTACAGTATAGAGCAGGTAAATAATTCAGATAGTCTGCACAGAGATCCATGGAGCTACAGCTAGACTGTTAACCAGGACACAAACTAGAAAGGCATATTTCAAGTATGTGTATATGTGCTAGTGGTTGCAGCAAGCACATATCTATGTCTTCCTATTACTTTTAACTATGGTCAAACAAAAGTAGTGATTATTTACACAAATATAATAGATTAAAAGTATAAGTGATAAGTTTGGGTTTTGAGATTAATGAATAATTAGAATTTTGGGCACAAAAAAGTGAATAAGGTAATTGTCATTGAGCCAGCTAACACAGGGAAATATTGACAAGATGATCATCAGGAGCAGTAGGTAGGAACAGTGTCATCTGCATAGATAAATATCTTGGCTTAAGTAGAATACATAACCTAATGCATTTAATATCAATAATTGGTCAGATATGGTCAAAATAGATTATTAAACCAGATGATTCTAGATTAAAACCAGAAAGAGTGCAAGGACAGTTCATTCAAAAACTCCTCACTGTTTTGCAGGGAAGAAGTGGGAAAGGCTAGCACTGTGTATCTTTACACATACTCCAGGGCTGGGGGGTGAAGGGGTGGGACGCTTTAATTAGAGCGACTCTTGGGAGCCAGTCTGACTAAAGCACCTGCAACATCTCATGCATTCGGCATCCCGTGTTTCAAAACAGCGGTGAGAGCCTTTTAGTTAAAGCTCATTGAGCTCTTTTAAGTAAAGCTCTCCACCATTTTGAAGTGTGGGAATGCTGAATACATGTGACACCAAGCCTGCTGGAGCATACTAATTAGCACATTCCAGCAGACTCAATTAATTGGAGTCTGCTCTGATGCATTTTAATTAGAATGTGTCAGAGCAGGCATCAGGCACGTGTATTGGTGCCCACTAAGAAACTTCAGTTGCTTTGTAAAGAAAGTTGTGGTTTGCATTAAAAAAGCTTCTATGTTATAACAAAAAACTACACCTGTATAAGTGAGCTTTACTCCAAGGCTCAGAAAATTCATGAAATGCAACTGGATTGTCAAGTCACTGAAGATGATTAAAGCCACACTTATCGTGATTATTTAGCTTGCTGTCATGGAAATGTTCACAGGCGGATCTAGGATCTGAACAGAGTGGATGCAGGTGGTGGATATTACATAACATAACAAAAAGTTTTAATAAAGTTAAAAAGAACCTAAAAGTTTTACAAATAAGCTAGGGGCTTAGGGTTGTATTATTCAGTTTAAGATTGAAGCAAAAAAATATATACATTTATTGGAATGTGCATCATAACAAACTAGGCAAAAAATAAGCAAAATATTTTGTTCCATTAGTCCTCCAGTCATTAGAAATGAATGGACAAGTCTTTTTCAAATTTAAAACCAAAGGCTAGCCTTCTGGAGCATCTTGACAATGCAACCAATGCTCCACAGAAAGTTATTCCCACACCTGAGTTAACGTTTTCAGAACGAATTAAAAATAGCCTCCGACAGTGAAATAGAAACTACATTACCAGGAGCAGCTAACAGGCAGCAGAATTGCAGAGGGAAGGTTAGCTTGATTAGTTGAACATCAAGACCATTAAAAAGGGGAAAGGGTGCTTAACACCGATGTAATGAAGACTTTAGAAGGCTTCAGGTAGAGTATAATGAAGCATGAAAGCAATTGGATATGTCAGTGTTGCCTGATTAGAAATGATGCTGCCGTGCCAGCCAGTTGGCTTTAAACTTTAGGTGAACCACAAATCAATCCAAGGTGCAACTTCATCTGCCTGGAAATAGTGTTCATTTTTATGTTCAAGTACAGTTTTCTCTCTGTTTTTTTATATGAAGCAGGTAGACAGATTAATCAGTAGTTTGTTTTTTATTATTATTTAAGATGACCAGGGATCCTGGTTTTCTCTGATAAAAAAACAACCAATTTTTGGATTAAAAAAAAGTAACCCAAAAACCCAGTTTTTGG